CCCCAGGTTTTCACCAGGCCTAATCCAGCTCACTCAGCAAGCTCTGGCTCAAATATCACCTTCCTGGACCCTCTCCTGCCTGCACGCTGTCCTGCCTGCACCCCCTCTAGGCCGAATTAATTGCTCCCATCCTTCAGTTGCCTCACGGTTCTTTGTACACATTTCAATAACGCATAGTTGCTTGTTTCGCCCTCAGCCCAGGACCTCTCCAGGGTAGGTCTGGTGTCTCGTGGGCCCTCTGAAATTAATGAGTTGATGATGCTATTTCCAGGCCTGAGCAACTTTGAAAAGGGCAATTGACAGATTTTACTCAAAAGGGGCTGAACCTGGGCAAAACTGTGTAAGTGGAGGTATTTTTCCATGCCTCCTTCCTTCTTAAAGTTTCCAGTCTCACAGCTCTGGCTCCTTGGCCTTCTAAAATGTCCACTCTTCTGATAAATTAATTCATACTCAGGTACTAAAGGTAGACGGCTGAAATCCTTGCTAGAAACAGAAATAGATGAATATAAAGTAATGATCCTTTTTTCCTCTTTTAGTAACATGTAAGAATTATAATCTAAGGAACATTGTCATTCAATTTAGTCATTTTACAAGGGGTGATGCTTCACCCCTCAAAGACTGATAATCCTAACTTCTGCCTTTAAGGAACTCATAGACTAGTAGGGGAGATAGACATATAAACAAATAATTACAACGTAGGACAATAATAAGGGTACAAACACTGACCGAAGTATAGGGGACAAGTGACGTCTTCTGTACGGGGTTGTGAGGGACTGTGATGTTGCAGCCTAGGATTTTGGAGTATGGATAGGAGATTTCCAGGAGGAAGGGACAGTCAAGTCAGCAGAATATAAACTTACATGGAGGTATGAAACAGAACGATATCTTTGAGAAACTAGAAATTGTTCATTATTGCTGGATGGGGGGTGGCAGTAGTTAAAAACGAGCCCAGGGAAGTGGACAAGGCCATTGAATTAAGGATATTATAGACTAGTGCTTCTCAAACTATAAGAAAGGACCAATTAAAAAAAATTTCCAGTCTATAGTCTATACTTCTTTTTTTTTTTTTTTTAGATTTTATTTATTCATTTTTTTCCCCCCAAAGCCCCAGTAGATAGTTGTATGTCATAGGTTCACATCCTTCTAGTTGCTGTACGTGGGACTCGGCCTCACGTTGGCCGGAGAAGTGGTGCCTCGGGGCGCGCCCGGGATCCGAACCCGGGCCGCCAGCATCAGAGCACACGCACTTAACCGCTAAGCCACGGAGCCGGCCCTATACTTCTATAAAATACACTAGAAGTGAATTATCGAACAATGAAATAAAATCCCTATTTTTATTAGATTCAATAAATATTTTTGTCAAATTGCTGTAAAAGTTTCTAAATGTTTACACTTAAATTTCTGAAATTGTTTCATTGCAGATTGGTAATAAACTTTGAATAGCGCTGTTGTAGTTGTTTCTTTACATCTATGTTTTAGATCATACTAAAGACCTTGGACTTCATCACAGGAGATTTTTGGGGAACCATAAAGGCTTTATAACCTGGGAGTGACATGGCCAGGTCTGCATTTACTATAGTGTGGAGGAAGGGGTTTATGGCTGCAAATAACAGCAGGGAGGCCAGCTTGAAGGAAACTAAAGAGGCCCAAGTGAGATATGGCAAGATGCTAGACTAAATGTCTGGCATGGGATGGAGAGGAGAGGATAGATTCAAAAGGTAGTCAGAAAGTAAAATCAATAGGACGTGATGATTGGCTGAGGGGTTGGGGGAAGAGAAGAGCTTAGGGTGACTCCTGGACTTCTAGCTTGAGTGACTGAGTACATGGAGTCTTCATTAAATATTCACCATCTGTAATCCTTTTCCTAAATTAAAATGAATGAAAACCAAAAGTTTTTCATAACTCATTTGACAACAAAATCTAATCTGACCTGAACTTATTTTGTGGCAGACCTCCTAAACTTTCATTATTTATAGTTTCATTTATCCCACTTTTGTTTATCCCAATGTGAATATTCATATATCTCATTGCAGAAATATTAATTTGTTTGATTACGGTTGCTGTCCCAGACCCCACTGGGACTGTTGCCTTACGTATTGTATATGTATATGTACCGTATATGTTTCTAAAATCCAAAAAAATTCTGAAACACATTTATATCCAGATTTCCCACCCTATTTACTCATCAGTCTTGGCCTGAGTTCTTTGGCTATTTGCATAAATCAGAGCCACCTGCAGATAATGAATATTCATTGCAGTGTGTGCTATAGACTCTGAAGATGATTCTCAAAGTGTTTTGAGCAGTGTCCTCGTTATTAAAACAAGGCTAAAAGCTTCTTGAGTGACTATCTCGAAGTGACAGAACTCATTTGGATGGTAAAGTTTAATGGGACAGCCAGTCTTATTATGTATACCTCGTTTACATATTTTAACAGCCAGTGATCTTCTGGAATTAGTTTCCAAACCTGGAATTAGTTCTCCTGTTCTCTGGCCTTTATTCACAACCAAAGAGCGAGCTCTGAATGGTGAGAATTTGGGGCCTGGTAGAAAATGTGTGTGTGTATGTGTATATACTGATAAATAAATGAAAAGCAATGGGATATATTGGAGTATATGAGGAAGCCATTTGGTTTAAAACTAATTCAGCCGGATCTTGTTTTTCCAAAAGGGCCTGACATGTCTTGTTGAATATGCATTGTATATCTGTTTTAAACATTTACTATGCCCCAAAGACAAGAATGATGCCCCTAAAAATAGGGATGTAGCTTCCCCCCATATCACCACTTCTTTAAGAATAAGCATCTCTTCCTGGGAACTAAGGATTAATTACCGACCTGCTGTGCTCACCTTGTGACCACTGACCTGCTGACCACTGACCTGCTGTGCCAGCTAAGCATCTCCTGACAGAAGTAAAAGAGATATTCCTGCCAAATGTGATGTATGCTTTGTTCCAAGACAGTATATAACCACTCTGTACACCCCACTTCTGTGGTGCCCTTTCTTCCTTGGGGAAGGAAGGCCCTGGGCTATAGTCTTCAAACTTGGCTCATAATAAACCTCACCCCAATTTTGATTTATAGATTGATTATGGATTATTTGTGTTGACAATATACATACACAAATCATTTTTTAAAAGTTTTAGATTTACAGAAAAATTGAGAAGATAATACAAAGAGTTCCCATATACCCCACATCCAGTTTCCATTATTATTATCTTAACATTAGTATGGTGCCTTTGCCACCATTAATGACCCAGTATTAATACATTATTATTAACTAAAAGTCTATAGTTTATTCAAATTTCCTTAGTTTTTACCTAATTTTTTTTTCTGTTCCAGGACCCCATCCACCATAGCATATTACATTTGGTTTTCATGTCTCCTTAGGCTCCTCTTGGCTGTGACAGTTTCTCAGACTTTCCTTGTTTTTGATGACCTTGATAGTTTGGAGGAGTACTGGTCAGGTATTTTGTAGGATGCGCCTACTGGAATTTAATGTTTTTCTCATGGGAAAGGAGGAAAATCACAGAGGTAAAATGCCGTTTTCATCACATGGTATCAAGGGGACACAGTATTCACGTGATTTATTACTGTTGATACTCACCTTTCTAGGTCAGCCAAGGGAACGTGTGAGAGAGACATTAGATGACCATTGCAGCAGGAGCGGCCTACACTTTTCTTTCTGAGGATGAAATTTGTTCTTTTGCCCATGGCTCAGCTTTATTTTGACTTCTTAAAAATTCCTTGTTGTGAAAGCTTGAACCTTCCGCAGCAGTTACCTCCTTCCCTGAATTTCCTCTCAACTCACTAGGCTCCATCATCTCTAATGCTCCTACCCACCACTATCAGATCCTCTAAAAAAAAATGTGATGCTTCAATTTCTCCTAACATTTCCTGAACACCTGTTATGTGGCAGGCACTCTGCTAGGCCCTCACTGTATCAAATCATTTAATGGGAAGCTGCCTGATGCATAGAAAGAACTCAGGCTTTGGGGTGAGTAAGACTTCGGGTGGAACCGCAGCCCAGCCCAACTAACCACGCAATCCTGGGCAGGTTTCTTTGCCTGTTTTAGCTTTGGCTGCTTCTTAAACGGAGATATTTGTCTCACAAGACGTTGTGAGGAATAAAAACTTTTAATCTTCACATTCATTTCGCTTCCAAAAAAATCCCTATGACTACGTTTTTAAATACTAACGTTTATTCCTATAAAACACTGACAACGCAATTTGTGTGTGTGTGTGAGATTTCCGTTTTAAATCATTTAGGGCCTTGGAGGACACAGTCGTCTTAAAAAAATTGTCCCGTCAGGACCCTATTTATAACGAGGTCTCAATTATAAGTTTCCCTTAACAAAAAGATGGTGATAAAAAGGAAAGAGAGAAAACAAGGAACTTGAGACAATTTCGATGGAACTATCAAGTTTGCTCACGGAGCCCTCGTCCATTCTAATTTTCTATTGGTTAAGCTTACCATCAATCGCACCAGTTGTAAATAAGCTGGAGACGGAAGCATGTTGTTAAGGGTGGGATCTTCCTGTCGCCATTGCTAAGATGAGAGCCCACCTTCTAATAGGCTGAAAGCTGCTTCTCCCGCCCTCTCGCATCAGTTGCTAAGAGGCGGGATTTAGGGTCCGTACAGACTGAGAGCTCGAAGCACCGCCCATCCGATTGGTTGTTAGGGGGCGGGTCTTGTAGCGGATAGGCTGCCGGCCCCGCCTGTTCCGGGTTAGTTGCTGGGGAGAGGCACGTGAGGAGGCGGTGGCGTGAGGCGGCCATGGCGGGAGGAATGAAAGTGGCGGTCTCGGCGGCAGTTGGTGCCGGGCCCTGGGGCTGGGGGGCCGGGGGCGCTGGGGCAGTGCGGCTGCTCCTCGTGCTCTCCGGCTGCTTGGTCTGCGGCTCAGGTACCGCCCGGGCAGCAGCTGCCAAGGGGGCGGGTGCGATGGGGTTATATTTAGGAAAGTGGGGAATGTCCCCAGGGCGCGGACCGTTATTCTGCCCAGCGGCGCAGGCGTGGTGCGGGGGAAGAAGCTTTGTGGTCGGCGAGTGGGTGTCGGCACTGAGGGATCTGGGCCCGTGGGCAGCTACCCAGAGTGGGGAGGGAGAAGGGAGATGAGCAGGGAGGCCTGGACTGGGCGAGAAGCGGTCTTGGGGGCTGCGGAAGGAGAGGGAGGACCATTCGGCCAGGCGGAGCTGCCTCTGGAAAGGGAGCATCCCATTCATTCATCAATTTAGCAACACCTTTTGAGCGTGTGCTCTGTCAGGACCCGGCACGGGTGGCTGAACAGATCATTACAGTTCACTGAAATGCAGTGACCTCCATCTAATATATCTTCTGCTCCTGTAAAACCCTCGCCCCTACCGGCTCTGTAGAACGGACCCGGGGCAGGTAAATTCCCGTTTCCGAAAAAGATAGAAACGCCATTCAGCCATCGACTAGGTTTCTTTTGGAAATTTATTCATTCCTCAAGCAAACTTTCTTGATACCTGCTTCTGGATGCTTGGCTTTGGACTGGGATGAAACTGTTTTCCTTTTCCGCTCTAATCCAGAAAACCTAGAGTGTGTTTGTAAAAAACCTCCTTCTACCCGCTTGTCCTTAAATGCACAACAGAAAAATAAGTGAGGTTTCCGAGCTTCCACTGGAGGGAGTTGAAACTCACGAGGTTAAGATAACCATCTCTGTGAACACATATCATGCTCTCTCCCCTGTCCCTGGTTTGCTGACTGTCTCGTGGTATCACTTATGATTATCCTCAGCTGCAGCTTTAAGGTTGTTTCAGGATCCACAGTTCTAGTTCCAAAGTGCAGCGTCCTTCTGAAACGGTTTTTTTAGGGAGAGGTGGGTAGGTCTCCAGGAAGATACTTTTCCAGGAAGAGGCAGGGCCTAGAGTAACATTTGAAGGGCTGCTTATGATGTGAATGAACCTGGGCCAGGTGGTTCACCTCTAAAATGGGATTGTGGGGATGAAAGAGAAAATATATGCAAAAATGCTCCTACATAGCGCTCACTCAGTTGTCTCTCTTCAAGTTTCTTTAATGAAGAGAGGAACAGGGACTTCTTGGCTTCGAGAAGGGTGAACTCGGGATGGTATTTGTTCTGTGTGGCCTGATAGATCGTATGGGTGACAGCTACATGTAATGGGGAAGAACTCTCTAAGTCAGAGCTGCTTAAAGATAGAATGGAATACTTAGAAAGGTAGGGAGTTCTGTCTTACTGGAAGGTTTTGAAAAATTTGGTTATAGAAATAATATGAGTTTATTTTGGACTACTTGGCAAGTACAATTAAGTATAAAGAAGTAGAAAAAGCCCTCACTGTTTATTCTGTTCAGAGGCCATCTATTTTAGCACACTTTCTTCTGGTCTTTCTCCACATTTTTTTTTTAAAGCAATAATTGTTTCTTTTTTTAAATTTTTTATTGGGGTAACTGGTTTATAACATTATATAAGTTTCAGGTGTACATCATTATATTTCAGCTTCTGTGTAGACTACCTCATGTTCACCACCAAAAGTCTAGTTGCCGTCTGTCATCATCCAAATGTGCCCTTTGACCCCTTTCACACTCCTCCTCCCCCTTCCCGTCTGGTAACCACCAATCTATTTTCTATGTCTATGTGTTTGTTGTTGTTTTTCCACGTTTTCTATGTTGTTCCCCATGTTTTTAATTTAAAAAATTTTTTTGAGTTGATAATACATTTGTATGCCTGTCAGCAGTCCTGGTCTCTTCCCTGGATATCACCAGTTGTTACAAGAGGTGGTTTTCTTATTTGATTTTGTAGCATAAGCATTTTCCTTTCCTGTGTCATTTAAAATTCTTCATAAATGTTATTTTTCCTTGTATTCTGTACTGTTATATGGGCAGACTATTTAATATTTCTTTTTTTTTTTTTAAAGAAACTTTATTTTTTTTTTTGTGAGGAAGCTCAGCCCTGAGCTAACATCCATGCTAATCCTCCTCTTTTTGCTGAGGAAGACCGGCTCTGAGCTAACATCTATTGCCAATCCTCCTCCGTTTTTTTCCCCAAAGCCCCAGTAGATAGTTGTATGTCATAGTTGCACCTCTACTTCTAGTTGCTGTATGTGGGATGCGGCCTCAGCATGGCCGGACAAGCGGTGCCTCGGTGTGCGCCCGGGTGGTGTGTGCCTGGGATCTAAACCCGGGCCTCCAGCAGTGGAGCTCGAGCACCTAACCGCTAAGCCACGGGGCCGGCCCTAATATTTCTGAATTAAACATTTGGTTGGATATTTGGTGTTTCTAGTTTTTCATTCGTGTAGATAACACTTTGTGAACATCTTTCTGTATAAATTTTTGTTGTATTTGGATTATTTTTTTGGGATAGATTATCAGAAATAGATTTATTAGATCAAAAGCTAAACTATAGGGGCCGGCCCAGTGGCGCAAGCGGTTAAGTGCGCGCTCCGCTGTGGCGGCCCGGGGTTCGGCGGTTTGGATCCTAGGCGCGCACCATCGCACCGCTTGTCAAGCCATGCTGTGGCGGCATCCCATATAAAGTGGAGGAAGATGGGCATGGATGTTAGCCCAGGACCAGTCTTCCTCAGCAAAAAGAGGAGAATTGGCAGATGTTAGCTCAGGGCCGATCTTCCTCACACACACACAAAAAAAGCTAAAATATATTTAAGACCCTTGAAACACCTTGCTGAAATACTTTCTTGAAAAGGTGTGCCAGTTTACACCACTATCAGCAATATTAGCTTGTGGCCCATACCCTTGCCAGCACTGGATATTCCAGACTGTAACACTTTTGCTAATTTGATAGATTGAAAGTGGTATCTTAATTTACTTTGCATTTCTTGCATTATTTGTGAGGGAGCATCTTTCAACTGTTTTTATAAGCTATTTAAATTTTCTGTTTAGACTTTCAAACTTTTTGGAGTATGTGTGTGTTCTTTATTCTTGGTCTATTTATTGTGATATTTTGTGTACTTTAAAAATGAATTTTTGCTTTTTTATATATTTAGGATATATGTATTTAATTATTTGTTTATTGCAGAACTTGTCCTTAGTTTGCCCCCTTTTATCTTTTTAAATAGAAGATTTATATTTTTTATGTGGTTACTTGATTTTATTCTTTAGATTTATTTCCATTTCTTTTACGCTTAAAGGGCCCTCCAAAACTGCATTATTTTTTTTGTGTGTGGTACGATTTAATTTTTTATTTTACTTTGTAATCTGTAATTAATGTTAGCATTTGAAGTGAGGTGAGGTGAAGTGGATTACCTCTAGAAATGAAAAGAAGCTGTTTAAGAATTAGAAGAGGTGGTTTTTTTTTTAAGACTTTTTAGGGTCCATTCCAGTCCTCACATACTATGAATCATTTTCATTACCTTTTACCTGTAGACGTTAAATGATCAGTGTTGCTGATTGAAAAGTAAGTGAAAAGTAAGTTTGTAATGATTATAAGTAAATGTGAAGTTGTTAACCTTTGAATAGCTGCTTTATGGGTCAATATAATTAGCAAGTTGTGATTAACTAAATTCCAAGAAGGCATTTTCTGAGAAGAACTAGGTCTTTGGGTTCAGAAGGTATTTTCTTGAATGTGTAATTCATTCTGCTTTTTAACCGGCTGGCTGACTCACTTTGGGGAGGGAAAGAGAGGTGGCACGTGCCCTTTTGCTGCTGGAAGCACAAAGTTCTAATGTGAGTGTTTTCACAACTTGTATATGTTTAAAGTCATTTGATTTGGTCTGTGTTTCTAGCAATTTCAGCTATAGCCGGAGTGGTGATTGTTTCCACAGATTATCCTTTTGGGCTGAATTGGTATATTTTCCTTCTTGGTGAATTTCCAAAGATGTGGCTGGCCAAGGTGCTGATTTCCGTAGGAGGTTGCCGTTAAAGAAGTTTATTTACTTATTCATTTAAAATTCTTTCCCTTGAATGGTGTGGAACTTGGGAAAAGGAAGCACTAGATTTTAAAAGGTGCTGCTTTTTATAAAACAGTTTTATTTCTTTAGGAAAATGGCATTGGAGAGTTTTAAAGTTTGAAAACAATGATGGATTTTCTTGGCATTAAGTTTTTCAGGGCCGGCCCCGTGGCTTAGCGGTTAAGTGCGTGCGCTCTGCTACTGGCGGCCCGGGTTTGGATCCTGGGCGCGCACCAACGCACCGCTTCTCCGGCCATGCTGAGGCCGCGTCCCACATACAGCAACTAGAAGGATGTGTAACTATGACATACACCTATCTACTGGGGCTTTGGGGGAAAAAAAGGGAGGAGGATTGGCAATAGATGTTAGCTCAGAGCCGGTCTTCCTCAGCAAAAAGAGGAGGATTAGCATGGATGTTAGCTCAGGGCTGATCTTCCTCACACTCAAAAAAAATAAAAAAATAAAAGTTTTTCAAATGGCCTGTGCTATTGACACATAATTTGCATCTTATTACCCTCTTGAAGATAATAAATGGGCTTAATACTGTTATATTACTTGGTGCTGTGGGAAAGAAGGGGTTAATAAGTGAATTTTTTTTTTTTTTTTTGACAGGTGTATGTTTTTACTCGGGTCTTTGTAAATTGACTGGATATTGTATTAAGGAAGTGATAGGTTTTTGTTCAACATCTTTTTTTTTTAATACTTCCCAATGTTTTTGCAGACCTCAATGAATTTTTATGTATAGTAGTTTTAAGCTTCACATAACCTTACTCTCTTACACTCTCCAGAGGAAAATAAACTTTTTTTTTTTTGTGAGGAAGATTTGCTCTGAGCTAACATCTGTTGCCAATCCTACTCCTTTTTTTTTTTTTTTTGCCTGAAGAAGATTAGCCCTGAGCTAGCATCAGTGCCATTCTTCCTCCACGTTATATGTGGGTTGCCGCCACAGCATGGCTTGATGACTGGTGTAGGTCTGTGCCAGGGATCCGAACCTGTGAACCCAGGTGGCCGAAGCGGACTGTGCTGGACTTAACTACTACGCCACAGGCCTGGCCTGGAAAATAAACTCTTGATACATATTTGTGAGTGGGTATTTTTTCAGTATGTTTGGGGGATTACTAGTGAGACAGATGTCAACAGGATTTTGTAAAGCTTTCATTTTACGAAAGATAGGCTTGAAGGAAATACAAATTACTATTGGATTTCTAGTGAGAAATTGATAAATGGGGTTCAGGACATGATGCTCCAAAATATGGCCCCTTGGCATATTGAATATTTTAAGCTGAGGGAATTTGAGAAGACAGCAGAAGCAGGTGGGTCACTCTGACCTCCCTACATCGCCCTTCTTCCCTGAAACAGGCCATAAAACCCTCATGTGAGAGGTGCCCTCCCTACACCTGGAGGACAGGAGCATCCTTATCTCCAAAGACAGAGGGACGCCCAGAAGAATCCTAACAAACAGGCCTGGGTCAGTTTCCCCTAGTTCACTACAATTATTTCATCCTTCTTACCCTATCATATTCCTCCACGACTGTCCACTCTTCATCAAACCTAGCATAAAACTACATGGATCTGTTTCTTTGGGTCTTCATTTCCTTATGAAGGCTTTTGTGTCACGTAAAACACATTAAATAAATTTGTATGCTTTTCTCCTGTTAATCTATCTTTGCCAGTTTAATTTTCAGACCCAGCCAGTGACCCTAAGAGGGTCAAGGAAAACTTTTCCCTTCCCTACAATATCAAGACTGAATTTTTAAAAATTGAGATATAAGGGGCCGACCCAGTGGCGTAGCGGTTAAGTTCATGTGTTCTGCTTCAGTGGCCCAGGGTTTGCCAGTTCGGATCCTGGGCGCGGATCTACTCACTTTTCCTCAGGCCATGCTGAGGTGGCGTCCCACATAGAAGAGCTACAACTCTACAACTATGATACACAACTATGTACTGGGGCTTTGGGGAGAAAAAAGAAAAAAAAAAAAAGACGAAGATTGGCAACAGATGTTAGCGCAGGGCCAATCTTCCTCAAAAACAAAAAAAAAATTGCGATACCATAAATTCACATACCATAAAATTCACCCTTTTTAGGTTTTTAGTATATTCACAAGGTACAACCATCACCACTGACTAATTCCAGAATATTTTCATTACTCCAAAATGAAACCCCATATGCCTTAGCAGTCACTCTCCATTCCTCTCTCCTCCCAGCCCCTGGCAACCACTGATCTACTTTCTGTCTCTGGATTTACCTATTCTGGATATTTCATGTAAATGGGATCATGTGATACATGGCCTTTTCTGTCTGGCTTCTTACATTCGCATGTTTTCAAGGTTCATCCATGTCGTAGTATGTATCAGTACTTCTTTTTATGGCTGAATAATATTCCGTTGTATGGCTGTACCACATTTTGTTTATCCGGTCATTAGTTGGTGGACATTTGGATTGTTTACACTTTTTGGTTATTATGGATATTGCTGCTATCAACATTTGTTACAAACTTTTGTGTGGACATAATGTTTTCAGTTCTCTTTGGAATATACATAGGAGTGGAATTGCTGGGTCATATAACAACTCTGTGTTTAACTTTTTGAGGAACTGCCAAACTGTTTTCCAAAGAGGCTGCATCACTTTACATTCTCATGAGCAATGTAGGAGGGTTCCAATTTCTCCACATCATTGACAACACTTGTTATTGTCCTCTTGATTACAGCCATCCTAGTAAGTGTGAAGAGATATTTCATTGTGGCTTTGGTTTGCATTTCCCTAATGATTAATGATATTGAGTGTCTTTTTATGTGCTTATTGGCCGTTTGTATATCTTCTTTGGAGAAATGTCTATTTAAATCCTTTGCCCATTAAAAAAATTTGGTTATTTCTCTTTTTATTGTTGAGTTGTAGTAGTTCTTTATGTATTCTGGATACTAGACCCTCATCAGGTATATGATTTGCAAATATTTTCTCCCATTTTATGGGTTGTCTTTTCACTTTCTTGATAATGTCCTTTGAAACAAAAGTTTTCAATTTTTATGGAGTTCAATTTATCTGTTTTTTCTTTGGTTGCTTATGCTTTAGTGTCATATCTAAGAAACCATTGCCTAATCCAAGGTCATGAAGATTTACACCTGTGTTTTCTTCTAAGCGTTTTATAGTTTTTGCTCTTACATTTAGGGTTAGTACTGGATTTAACTTCAAAATTAGTCTTACTTCACCCTAAAACCATTTTGGACTGGTAGGCATCATTGCCTTTTTGTGTGTGTAACTTTGGCTTTCTAAGGTTTGGTTGAGGTTTTTGTGTGTTTGGTTTTGTTTATTTAAATCTACTCACCTTTGTACTAAGAACCAAAGTGATAACTAAATTTCCAGTTAGAGTAGCGCTTAATAAGTTGGTAAGTACAATATGGAACTCAAGGAAGAAATTATTTAAATATTTGTGGTAAAGAAGATGGCTTGTGCAAACTTGGGTGGGAAGATACAAGAGTGGTCATTTTTTTCTACCTTTTTTTTTTTTTTTTGAGGAAGATTAGCTCTGAGCTAATATCTGTTGCCAATCCTCCTCTTTTTTGCTGAGGAAGATTGGCCCTGGCCTAACATCCGTGCCCGTCTTCCTCTCCTTTATATGGGACGCTGCCACAGCATGGCTTGATAAGTGGTGCGTAGGTCCACTCCTGGGATTTGAACCTGCAAACCCCAGGCTGCTGAAACGGAGCACGAGAACTTAACCGCTATGCCACTGGCCAGCCACACGAGTGGTTGTTTTTAAATCTTGAATTAGCTGAGATTGAATACAAACTCCTGAGGGGAGAATCCTCTGTTTTGGTAAAATCAAAGAGACTGCATATATCATTGACTTCTCTTAAAACTTGAAATGAAATAAAACAGCTGGCAAAAAGTAACTTTGCAGTCTTTTTGTATCTGCTTAAAGTACTGTATATACAAAAACATTGCCAATTCTGTTCATCCTGCTCAGAAAAGGGGTAGAGAAAATCAACACATGGGTTCCTTTAGCTATGCCTTTATAAGAGAAACAGGACCTGGGTGTGACATTCCCTTAAGCTGTTTACTAGCTGTGTGATTTTGGGCAAATTACTTAATCTTTCTTAAACATCAGTTTCCTCATTTGTGAAATAGGGATTATGAGAGTGCCTACCTCATAGCGTTGTTGGGATGGTTAGATGAGGCAGACCATCTGTCTTAATAAACACTTAATAGTAGCTTTTATTATTACTTCTGGGTTATATTGACTATTTATAATATTTAGATAATTAAATTTGACAGAAATAAGACTGCCTTATTTCTTCCCTCTTCTCAGTTTTCTTTTCTATCGCTGACATTTTATTCCCAACTTTAAGTGATCAGTTTAATTCCTTTTATGAAATGAGTTATAGTTATTAGCTTGTTCTGTTATGTTATACTTAATTCTCATTTCCTTTCTTTGCCTAAAGCCGGAATTGATGTAAACGTGGTCATGCTTCAGGAATCCCCAGCTGATTTTATGACTACCAGTCGACAATTCTGTTATAAAAATGTGCTTATCCCAAAGTGGCATGATGTATGGACACGGGTACAGGTAATAATTGGAGACCCCTGGCAGGGGCAGCTTCTGTGAATATCTGTCTGTCTGTGATTAGTGAGTACCTTGAAACATTTTTCCCCCTCACACAATTTAAAAAAAAAAGTATTATTAACAGTGTTGTAAGGGTTGAGATTATCCTGAATTGTGTTTTTATCAATAAGCATTTATGCCTACTTTGTGTTCATGTCTCTCTGTTCCCTTAAGTAGCTTACAGTACTTGACCCTGAGGTAAACTTCCTCCTTTTCCCACAGAAACTGCTTCCTTCCCTAACCATTTCTCCTTTTACACACACACACACACACACACACACACACACACCCTCTTTTTCTTTAAAGGCCATATTCCTTCTTTGGGCTGGAAACTGTCAGGATGTGAACTCTTTTGCCTTGCTGCTCCTATTCTATTTTAATTCTACACAAGGTGTTTCATAAACCCCCTGAGCTGAAGTTTCCCCTTGATAGAATGACTTTGGTCTCATTTATTTCATAAAACTGTTGAGCCATCTGGCAAGCAAGAGTGTTTGGCTGTAATAATGATTGAACAAAATGAGTCCTTTTGGAAATGTTGCTGCTGCGATATAAGCATAGTTACTGATAAGGGCATTTGTTGTTCACGTCAAAAACATAAGGGTGGGCTTGTGGTGTTTTTTTTTTTTTAATTCTCTTTTTTTTGTTGTCTGATATAAAAATCATATTCCATCTGGGGCACATTATAACCAGGATTTACCCGTAATCAGTGATTTGTGACAAAGGGTTGAAACATTTTCACGGCTGTTTATGTGCCTGGCAGTTTTCTTAATATTCTAGACCCTTGCTTTGTATGCTCTCTCATAAATAGCTGTATTGATAACTCTTTCAGCTTGTAAGTCTTTTCTGCCCCTATGTTCTGGCCTAATAGTGGATTCAGATCATGTTAACAACAAGACATTCTGACAGCCGTCTCTCTGTACCATGTGCAGTGTTATTTGCTCAATTATGTTGTAGCTGCTGCATCTCTATATTTCTCATAAGCCTTGTGGAAAAGGTGCCATTACTGATTTAGCTATTTATCATAAAGTTTTTAAAAAAAATTGTATTGGTGAAAATTTTAAATTCCTACCTTCTTCTTTCTCCTCTTGATTTTACTTGTGTTACAGATCCGGGTAAATAGTTCCAAACTGGTACGAGTCACCCAGGTGGAGAATGAGGAGAAACTGAAGGAGCTAGAGCAGTTTAGTATCTGGAACTTTTTTTCTTCCTTTTTAAAAGAGAAATTGAATGACACCTATGTTAACGTGGGTTTATACAGCACAAAAACCTGCCTCAAAGTTGAGATTATAGAGGACGACACCAAGTACAGTGTCATTCTGACCCGGAGTAAGTCTTACCTCTGTTTTTCCGATGGATCCTATGGTGAGAAGGGCTTGAACTTTGAAGGGTATAATTAGTGAGGCAGAGAAGTCAGCTCAGGACAGCTCCATTTTGGTTCTGATTATAACCTGAGTACACCACAGCTCCAAACAGTTCAGGGAGACTCCACCCCACATAAAACCCTTTAGGCCTAGAATCGAGACTTCACCTCAGGTCATTCTGAGTACCTCCTTTCCTAGAATCGTGCAGACTTGCATTTCTAATACTTCCAATGGCCCTGAGCTGATATGCCTAATATTCTTCAGAGTATTGCTCTGTCTGCCTTCTGGGCACTTCTAGACAAAGATAAGATGTTCTGAAATGTACAGGCCTACATTTGAAGACTTGAATGAACTTAATAAAAACTGAAGGAAGAACTGAATATTAATACTTCACGAGTATGAAGAGTATTTGTGGCTCCATAAATAAATATGAAGAGCACTCCTTTTCATGTCTTATTCAGTGGAACTGAAGTTTTACCTTCTCTGAATGTGTCTGAGAAAGTTTCACAGAGGAGGTGGATCATTATCCTGTTGAATTCTCTAAAACTTTTGGTCTCTCCTTGGTTACTACCCAGGGTCCTGGGATGTGAGTAGTAAAAACGTCCCTGGGTTTTGCAACGAAATAGGTTGTGCCCGTCCAATTGTCGTAGGGAACCACAGTTCTTTGGCTGTGTAGGATTGGCCAGTTTTTTTGTGTTCCTTTTACATTTACTGATCCCTCTTGCTCCTGTTCTGTTTGTGGGGGCTCAGAGCTCGTGAACGTGAAAGCTGTGGGAGTATCTGGTGTGCCACTAGGGGCCTCTGCTCTGGCCCCCTGGTCCTGAGTGAGATGTGTTTGAGTGTAGGCTTTTCCAATGCAGTACTTGTAAGAAGGGAAGTAGGTGGTGGTGTTGGGCAAGAGAAGCAGCCAATTAGAGACCAACAGAGGGCCCCTACCCAAAGTTCTAGGCAAATCTGAATCCAAGCCTGTGAAAGACTTAAGGCTTGAAAGCCAGAATGGTAGAGACCCCTTGTGGGCGATCGCATGAAGTGCTGATGGCAGTATGCCTGGCTGTGTCCAAAAAGCAAAGCTTAGTTTCTTTTAGCCGTGGTGTAGGTAGCCAAATAAAAATAAGGTCTTCTAGAATGTACAGGTTAGACAGAGACCTAATTATACTTTCTTTTTGGAAGAGTGCCCAGGCTTTGTGTAGAATGTACAATGCTGTGTAGGTGGGCTCTTTGCATTTATTTTATTAGCTGACCAATAATGCCAACATTGCCTTTTATTCTAAAATGCCTTAAGCTGTTTGGTTCTCCTATTAAGCAGAAGTCTTTATTTATTTCAGGATTTGACCCCAAACTCTTCCTCGTTTTCCTCCTTGGACTTATGCTATTTTTCTGTGGGGACTTGCTGAGCAGGTAGGTTCCAAGGCTAGAGTGTGGAACGACGAGGCTCAGGCCTCCCCTGCCTGACTTTTATCATCAAGACTTTAAGTGCTGCCCTTCCCTTTTCCAGGACCTTTATGGCTAGGCCATTGCCTGCTTGGATAATTTTTTTAAATACTTTAATATGTGTTATGCGTTTTGTTTTTTCTTGTATTGAGGAAGATTTTCAATAATGAAATTCCCCTGTTAGGTTGACCCATCACATAATGGGATTTAGCCAATATATCACCATCCTTTCCACCCTTAGAAATAGTGTGTTAAGCCCTCATTTTTACAGGGCCATGCGTTGATGAGTTCGTGCTTTTCATAGGTAAAGAAATAAACATCAGCCACTTAATCATCTCCTGCCTTTAGGAACCTACTAGCCAAGCCAGGTGAAACTGACACGTACAAATATAAAGAAAACATATAGATCACTAAACAAACATTCAACAAAGGTAGAATCAACATTAACTTCCTACACAAGTAAAATGAGTATTTGTGGAGCAGTGAATGAAAGATTAACAATTGGGGCCTGCCCCGTGGCGTAGTGGTTAAGTGTGCGCGTTCCGCTGCTGGCGGCCCGGGTTCGGATCCCGGGCGCACACCGATGCACTGCTTGTCAGGCCATGCTGTGGCGGCATCCCACATAAAGTGGAGGAAGATGGGCACAGATGTTAGGCCAGGGCCAGTCTTCCTCAGCAAAAAAAAGGAGGAGGATTGGCATGGATGTTAGCTCAGGGCTGACTTTCCTCACAAAACAAAAAAAAAAAAGATTAACAATTGGAGTTTGAAGTTGGGCTGGAGTAAGGTTGGGGGAAGTTGTTCCTTATTTGGGGATCCTGAGTGAAGCGCATGGTGAGGGAGGAATATCTGGTAGAAAGAGCCTGGAATGGGAGTAGGAGCCTCTCTGTTCTAGGCCCTATGTTTAGTTTTCCTTCTTGGTAATCAGTTCAGTTCTGGTTTCCAGTCTCCACTTGGGCAGTATGCTTGCCCCTTCCTTCTCCCCAGAGAAGCTGTGCAGTTCTCAGAAGAAGGATTCTTATTAAAAATTGGGTTGGGAGAGATGCTGGGGATGGGAGTGGAGACTAAGCAGAGGTTTATTATTGGGATATATTTGCAGGGACCTCATCGATACTAATCCTCATATTCTGGCAGCAACTACATCGTGCCAATCTCTTCAGTTTTCTGACCTCAAGTTTTGGGCAAATACCTGTTCTAATCTTGTACATTTTTTCTATCTTTTGGCTGGGATAGTTGTCCTTGTTTGAACAATGCCATGTATGAAGAATACACACATAGTGATGAAATAAATTTTCTCTCCGCAGAAGCCAAATCTTCTACTATTCCACTGGGATGAGTGTGGGAATTGTGGCCTCTCTACTAATCATCATTTTCATACTGTCCAAGTTTATGCCCAAGGTAAGTAGCAGAATTTTCATATGCAGTTAGGATGAGCTTGGATAGTTGAATGACTGTTTTCTTGGAAAATCTTAGTGCACTGAAAATTTGCATTGATGGCTGATAAGTCAGTGTCCTACACTTTCCTTGATTCAGAAAGGTAGTTTCCATGATGAAACTTGGAGCCTGATTACATACAAACTTTCCCTTTTTATTTAAAATCCTGTGCTCAATGGGGGATTAAAGTCTCCTTCCTATTTGCTAATTACATGGCTAGGCTTTTAAGTTAGTTAGCATCTCATTTTCCCAGTGTTCTTTGTAGACTGTACCATTTTAAATATAAAGGACATCTTTTTAAGAGATATGTTTTTTTGTGCACTTTTAGTAGGTTGAAATTTTATTTTTTTAAATTGTACTTCCATTTTGCTTCTTTTATTTATGGAAGGCCTGTTGTAACTTTTTGCTTTCACTTCTACTCTGTCTTAGAAAAGTCCCATTTATGTCATCCTGGTGGGAGGCTGGTCCTTTTCTCTGTACCTCATTCAACTAGTTTTTAAAAATTTACAAGAGATCTGGAGGTGTTACTGGCAGTATCTTTTAAGTAAGTATTGTCGGTTTTGCTTTTCTTTTTGTATGTTTATGGGCTGTTTTAGTTAATTTGATCATGAAAAGATGTTGCCTGCTTACAGGAATTTAATAGTCCATGCCATTTTATTAACACTTAAGGATCACAGTGCTTCACTTATTTCTAACCCCTCTACAGTTGCCACCTTCTCTTAAAATAAAATTATGCTGCTAGGGAGAAGACTTTAATTTGTTAGTGTTTATAAGTATACCTTTCTTTACGCATCTTTCTGAAAAACTGTAAATTGACTTTATTAATATAATCATATTTTAAATACACTAGAGGACTTTAGAAGTAAAGGATTCTTAAGTGAATTTTATCTATAAAGCGAGACTCCTTTGGTTGTACAGATAGTTACCCATAATCTACCCTTTGAGAGGTGATTAATCTGGATTTTCATATATTAGGTTTTTCTTTTGTGTGTGTGTGAGTAAGATTGGCTCTGAGCTAACATCTGTTGCCAATCTTCCTCTTTCTGCTAAGGAAGATTGGCTCTGAGCTAACATCTGTGCCCATCTTCCTCTATTTTATATGTGGGACACCGCCACACACGGCTTGATGAGTGGTGCATTGGTCTGCACCTGGGATTTGAACCTACGAACCCCGGGCCGCCGAAGCGGAGCCTCCAAACTTAACCACTACGCCACCGGGCTGGCCCCTTCATATATTAGATTTTTTAAACAGATTATTCTAGAGTTGTTCAACATGTAGCTTTAATCCTCCATTTGAACCAGATAAATTTGGGACAGCAGAAAGGGTAGAAACTGAAAAAAGTGTGAATAATTGAGTAAAGGTCTTATCTATTTTCCTGGTTCAATAGGTGCTATATAGTGAATTTACTGCTACTACCCGCACAAATTATTTTTACCAGTTTTAGATGCAAAAGAATGTCTTCTGATAACTCTTCTCATAGGCTATGTCCTCACAGTTGGATTCATGAGTTTTGCAGTCTGTTACAAGTATGGGCCCTTGGAGAACGAGCGAAGTATCAACCTGCTGACCTGGACCTTGCAGCTGATGGGCCTATGTTTCATGTATTCCAGTATCCAGATACCACACATTGCCCTTGCCATTGTCATCATTGCACTGTGTACTAAGAATCTGGAGTACCCTATTCAGTGGCTGTACATCACCTACAGGTGACTAAAAGGCATTGTCACTTTGTATTGTAATGTGCATTCTGGGAAGCAGTTGCAGCAAAAGGATACAGAGGTGTTGACCTGGGAGCCTCTCTGTTTAATGACAATTTGTTGTATTATGCTTCTACTTTTGTTCCTTCTGAGTCTTTTTTTTTTTTTTTAACTCTCTGTAGGCATTTTTATAGTTTTATTCTAGTCACTTTATGTAAAATAAAAGCATCCAGCAAAGTATCATGTGTTCCTGTTACCACTAGGTGGTGCAAAGTATATCACTTTTATACCACATGCCTTCAGGTCACCTGGTTTCAGATTATTTCACATTGGCTTTCAGATTGCTGTGGGAGTCCTCAGCTTATTTTAAGATGTAATTCATAGCATGTTATCACCTTGCATAGTGAATGTGGAGTGGTCATAGGTTCTGAGGTTATCAGTGGTTGTTCTATTACAGATAGTCAAGGTGATGCCTTCAGTTTGGGGAACCTAGTTAATGGACCACAATCTTATACCATCATTTTCTTGTCATTTTTCCATTTATTGGAAAATAAATATTTTGTCTGTCATTTATTGGAAAATAAGGGAATTTATTTACATTAGTGAATAATATTGACTACTCTGACTTGTCACTCATAGTGTGATGTGTCAAAAGTACGTTATAACTAAAGATATCTGTGGAAGATAGGTGGGTGTGATGACTCTTAATGTTCAGGCTCTCTGCTGTAAGCTTTGCCCAGTGAAGGGAGCTGGAGCTAAGGATGGACACAGATTACTGATTAATGATTCATGATGTTATTTTGGTGAGCACAGAAAGATGTGTAAGGCAACAGAAAAGACTGTCCCACCTCGTCTCCTGACAGAAGAAGAGTACCGGCTACAAGGTGAGGTGGAGACCCGAAAGGCTTTAGAGGAACTTCGAGAATACTGTAACAGTCCAGACTGCTCTCCTTGGAAGACTGTTTCTCGAATCCAGTCTCCAAAGAGGTAAACTCTTGGCCAGATATGCCAAGCATCTATCAGGGTAATTGTGACCTTGAGTTTTAACAGAGATCATACTTCTAGATAATCATTTTGTATTTGTGGCTTTGTTTTCCTGTTCATCTAGGAGTAGTCAAGAGAAAGGTACGTATATCATCGTATGTTAAACAGTAGCCTGTTTTCTGGTTCTTCAAGGAACTATCTGTTCTAGCTTTGATTGTAGCATTGAGATGAGAAGACTCCGGGACCATATTAAGTTTCCCCTCTGATAGTTTTGCGTTGCTCTCTGAGTGTTTTGGTTTTTTTTTGTGGGAAGGTGGTTGGGTTTTTTTTGTTTTTTGTTTTCTTTTTGTTGGAGCAACTGTACCAATGAATATGTGAAGCTTCAATTTGGATTCCTCATGGCATACAGCTTATAGGGCAATAAGCACGAATAAATATGTAATGCCCCATAACTTCTCTTATCAGGATTACAGATGATTAAAGGAACCTTAGCACTTCCATAACTAAAAAGGATAGGCTAGTGCTTATTAAACAGGATGGGGTTGCAGGGGATGTTGGCCTATGATCCCAGCTTTCCTTTTCTCCTTATTTCTTGCTTTAGTCTACTTACCCACCAGTAAGGACAGGGATGTTTGCTAGACTCAATAGAATTTGAGCTGTGAGCATATCAAGGGTTTTAATTTGTTCTTATTTTGAAAGAAAGCCAGAAAAGACAGAAGCCAGGTTACTAATGAGTATTATCTTCTCTTTTCCAGATTTGCTGACTTTATGGAAGGCTCTTCCCACCTCACACCAAATGAGGTTTCTGTCCATGAGCAGGAGTATGGATTAGGGAGCATTATCGCCCAGGATGACATCTCTGAAGAAACGTCCTCTGAGGAGGAAGACTCAGAGTCCCAGTCCCTGGCTATCATACAGAACAGTTTCCTGACCTAGGTGGTGGCAGCTGTTTTTATGAGGACTGGCTTGGTACCTCCATGGTCCCTGTTGCATGTGTCATGCAGTTGCTTCTCAGCTCTTTGAAACAGGGTGAGATAGTGCAGAAATTCTCCCGCTGAAATCAGAGGCCTGAGTAGGCCTCCTTTGGGAAATGGTCTTGGTGGTCTCTGTGGGATCCCTGAGGAAGGAGAGTGGATAACGTAGTGAATGCTTCTGATTGCTTCCCATCGGTTAGGCTATCGGCCCACCTTTATGTTTCCGAAGAAACTGGATGGCCACAGCTAGCGTGGTATTCTAGCTCCTCTTTGAAAGTCGATTCAGTCGAGGCACTTCTGCCACTGTGGCTGGCAATCAGAAGTGAGAACTGTTATCTGTGCAGTATTGCGTTCAGACTACAGGCTGTATCATCTGGGGAGAAATCCACAAATCTGAGCCACCTCCACTTCTGCTCTTATGTCAGTGACTTTAGAATAATCCTTGTTTTAACTGTTTTGAGAGGTAAATAGATTTTTATTTGTCTATCTTGTTTTTTAAATGAATATATTTTTTTAAATGTAACAAATTCAAGTTCCAGAATCAGCAGGCGCTGCAGAGTCACAAGCCCCTTAGATACCTACATATTATTAATATGGATTCTCCATTAAAGCCCCAGGAGCTGTGATGTCGAGCTTTGAATTCGTTCTCACACATATGATATTCTGAGTCCTGCTTACTTTTAGGAACATGCCTGCAGGCCCTTCTGTAGGGGAGGTCTGTTGGGCTTTTTATTATACGTAACTTTCAATTCCATCTTAAAAATACATCAGCGTTCTTCCCTTCCCATTCCTTGTTGCCCCTCCCTGCCCTTTCAGGAAGGGTCTGTTCCCTCACCTGGGAAGTATGTACAATTCAGTTTTATTTCTTTTTTTTTTTTATAATTTTATTTATTTTTCCCCCCAACGCCCCAGTAGACAGTTGTATGTCACATAGCTGCACATCCTTCCAGTCGCTGTATGTGGGACGCGGCCTCAGCATGGCCGGAGAAGCGGTGCATCGGTGCGCGCCCGGGATCTGAACCCGGGCCGCCAACAGCGGAGCGGGTGCACCTAACCGCTAAGCCATGGGGCCGGCCCCAGTTTGTTTTGTTTCTTATATTCTCTTCCCCTTGGTTTATAGAATTATTCCTGCTAGTTAGGAAAAGTGATGTTATTTAGGGAATATAAATGTTTTTTACAGGTTCTCAATTTTTTCTGTCTGTGGGTCACATATCTTTGAGTGGCTGTGGAATGAAGAAACTGTCTCCTTTTCCTTTCTCTTCCTTTGTCTACCTGTTCTACTTGTCTCTTCCTCTCAGCCTTTCCTCACCACCCGTACCCCTCCCCAACGAAATCTGGTTAATTTGTAAGCCCTGGAACTATCCGTGAAGTGTCTTGGTACAGCATACAAGTTGTAGCTAAATAGCTTCCACAATTGGCATTGCCAGGAAATAGACCTCCAGATAATCTGCATGCCTCTGGATGCTCATTCAGCCATCAGGATCAGATACATTTTTCCATGAACTTATTGTACTTATTTGCAATTCCATTTCTGACCAGAGATTCCTGCTGCCTTTTATTACAGTGGCGTTAGTTTCACATTCTTTTGCCATTGGAAAGTACCCTTATAAACTATTAATGTCGTTTATGAGGGGGGCAAATTCCCAAGTCTCTGTCATCATTTACTTGGTTCTTTGTGATCTTCACCCTGGTACTTTGGAAAAAACTATAATTACTCTGGCCAGGAAGATAGACACCCCTGGCAGGAGCACAGCTTCAGACTTACTGGCTTACTATGATCACGGAGAAGGCAGATGATTTTTTAAAAAACTGTAATGACTCCTTCAGACCAGCCATTTAGCAGATAATTTTCAAAAGCCCTGGGCTCCATTGCTGACTTCCAAAATGTCAGCTCTGTGACTTTCCTCCAGGTGGCCAGTTGGTTATTTCCACCAGTGTTTCCCACAGCTTTAAACTGCCCTAAAGTGACAGCTACCTCACTGGCTGCAAATAGACATATAGTAGAAAGTGAAAAATAAGTGGTATTTGGGCTGCTGTGGGTTAAAGTTGCAGGGTAAAGGAGCTTTATATTGGGAAACCTTTATGCCTTTGTGAATTATGTACATGGTATAATTTTATCCCTCTACAAAGAACTGTTAAGACCTCTAGAATAGACTTTTTTTTGCCTCATTTATAGAAATTGAAACCTAGCATATTTGAGCATAAGTTGATTTGAAAAAATAATTCAGCTGCACAAGTGGTCTCAGGATTCCCTGGAGACTTGGATGCATTCCTCCAAATAGCTGTTTAGGGAGATGGAGCTTGCCTCCAGGGCGACTTTTCCTGACTCATGTCTTTGTTTCAGTGAGACAGCATTGTGAAGCAGAGAAAGATTCTCTTCTTTTTCTGTTTAGTAAACTCCTTGTGAAATACACTTTCCACCTCAAGACCAGTTTTTTTCACTGTGTTTGAATTTGGGGTGAGTAAAATGAAACTCAGTTGATCACTTCCTGTCTGGTAGTTGGAGAGCTGAGCTGTAGGCAGTGGAGATGACAGCGGGTCCTGCAGATGAGAGCTGCTCTCAGACAGTGAAGGACCGTGCCTCTGCTGTGCTGTGTGTCCTTGCTATGCCTGCGTATGTGGCTCTGCCTCAGATGCTTCAGAGCCTCCGTGTGCCCAGAAATTGCTTGACTCCATAAACCTTTTTTAGGAGCTGCTCTTGTCTCGCTCTTGGCCACTTAGTCTGCTGGCTCAGTGACTACCTGAAGCCCCCATTTAATTTTCCTCTGGCGGTTACAGCTCTTGCAATTTCAGCATCTCTTCTCTGACCGATCTCATCGAGAAGGATTGAAGGCATAACCATGGAGTGAGCTGGACAGTGGAGCCACGTCTGCTGCCATGTCAGCGTCTTGCTCTGCAAATATCAAGCTGTAAATTGGCCCTAGGGCTCAGGATCTCATCAGCATTGGAAATCTATGGCCTCTAATCCGTCTGACCAAGTTGTGTAGAGCATGATTCCCATTAATGGGAATACAAGGGCCAACTGGCCTAAAACATTTCCCCTTCCCTTTCCCACTCAGATTGCTTTCACAAGACCAGTGGAACCAATGACCAATAATAAGGAAAATTTAGTGACTTTGGTATCTTCTGATAAGGAATTCCTATCAATAGCCACTTCATCCCACCAAAACTAGTTTATTTCTCCCCCCAAATTTAGGACTTTTACGTCAGTTACAAAGGGATTTTGCTGGTGACAGACTTTGGGTCCCAGTGTTCCTTTTTGTGCTAATACATCCATTCTAGGGCCTAGCCCTGTCTTCATTGACTGTGTTCCCGTCAACCCAATCCCGACTTGGCGTCTACAATAGAGATTTGGTGAATGAAAGGACCCAAATAGGCTGGACAGGCCCCCAGGTCCTGGTAGCCATAAAAGGCTAGGGAATGGATTGCGCAATTGCCTTCAATCTTTTTGTTGTTCCAGGAAAAAAACGGGCTCAGATGGATGCCTGCATAAAAGTGGTTCCTAACTGTATACTCATAACTTTTCTCTGAATTGAGTAGTGAAAGTTGAAGTAGGAGGAAAGGAAATTAAATGTCCTTCTAGTATTCCTTTGGACTCAGGTCTGACATATGAGATAATAACCTATCTTGAAATGCTAAGAATTTTATCTGAACCAAGGAGAGGACAGTTTGACAGATTTATTATGCCTTCATGTTACACAGGCACTGAAACCAAGTAATAAACATATAAAATAGCCATTGCCAAAGGCAAATGAGCCTAAAACCTTTGTTTATGTTTGATGTAGCAGAAATAATTTTTTTAGGGAAACATATGCAATTGTGGTCCAGTGCGTCACTTAGCTTATGGATTCAGTTGCTGTTGAGTTGGATTCCAGATGGTTACTACTTTGGAGAGGGTGTTTGGTGCCTTATGTGATGGGGGCCAGAGCCTGCTGGGAACAAACAAAGCAGATTCACGCCAGTGTCAATGCACAGCTTTAGTCGGGATGGGAATGGCACACAGCCCCCATCCATGTGTGTTATCTCCCTCTTCACACTCTTGACAATAACTTGAAAATGGTAAGATCACCTTCTCTGAACTTTCCTACAGCATAGGCAATATTCTTATGTCAGCACGGTAGATAGCTCATAATGTGAGTGTGAGAACTGTGACAGCCTGCGTTGCCTCAGTTTCCCATGTTTCTAGAATTGATGGTGAAATAACAGGGGTAAGGAATAACTGGGTAAGTTTTAGCCTGTGGGTAATGCCTTAGTGTTATTTAAAAAGATTTGTCATTTATATTTAAAATATTCATGAATGTTTGAAAGGAACAAAATGATCAGGGATGGCTCTTTGCCATGGGTCTCATTTTCACTCTTTTCTGTAAAAAAATAACGATGTCTCATATATTTTTTCATTTTTATTGTACGAGTTTGTAAGTAATCCCAATTTTAATAAAGTTTTATAGACTATATAGTGGTCTCTCTTAATGAACATGTACTTTTCTTGTTTGAGTCTCTTGTTTTCAGATACTCAGCAATTAGCTCCTCAGTTTCGTCTTTCTAATGAGATGGTTTTGCATGCCATCTATTTTCCTTTTTTTCTTAACCACTGCTCCCCATCTTGGGTCTGTCTTGGTCTACTTCCATCCTTGGGCTGGATGATTTCCCAGGATGCTGGATCTCTAAGGGGTATTCCTGCAGGAGTAGTGGGTTGTACCACGGTGCTGTCTCATAGGAAAACAATGTATAGATTATTCCTGGTCCAGGGAGCTACCCTGATTGCACTTTACTTCTTTTCTTTTTTAATGGCATAAAGCATCTCTTGTTTCTCCATGGAGGTGAAGGGAAGACCTGTGGATCCAGCTGTGGGCTGTAGCGTGGGAGAGGAGCGGGGATGTAGTGGGTATTAGGGCCACAAACTAAAAACTTCATGATGTCTGGGCACAGCTTCTGCGCAGAAGCCTGGTACCTTCCATCTTCTTTTATATTTTGGCTCTTTGCTCTGAGAATCCCGTATGGCATTTGCCTTAATTCTGTACCCGTCTCCTCTCTTCTCAGTTATTTAGACTACATGGAAATTCCTTGTCCATTTTTGAAAGACAGTGGGTGAAAAAGGGAGAAACAGGATGTAGACCATGTGTCCATTTATGTAGATTAATGCACACTAATGACATCTTTCTCCTCTCCCTTCTATAACTATGCTAGTTAAATAAGACATAGGTGATCATTAATGGTTGAATTAATCAAAACTTAAAGCATAATTGCTAGGTGTGTGACATCATAGGGCTTTAGTGAGGATAAAAAAAGATAAGGTATATAAAGCAGTTCTCGACCTTGAACATGCATAAGAATCATCTGGGAAGCTTGTTAAAATTATCTGGGAGGCTTGCTAAAATGCAGACTTCTGATTCAATAAGTCTGGGTTGGGGCCCCAAGAGTCTGGATTTCTCATAAGCTCTCAGGTGATTCAGATGCTGCTGGTCTGTGGACCTCGCTTTGAGCAGCAAGGATGTAAAGCACTTAGCCTGTTGTCTGGCATGTAGTGAGTACTTGATCAGTGTTGTTACTAATTGACACCAGATAATTTGTGAGAGTCAAGAAAACCCTCTACCCCCAAATATCTTCTCCATGATATCTGAAAACTTCTGTGTTTTTATTGTGTAGCATCTTTTAAAAAGTGAATATCCCTGGGAGGACTAATGCATGTGAATTGGTTTAATCAGATTGCTGCCCTCCCAACTCTCAGAAATCAGCACTAAAGGATTTAGAATTGTTTCTTCTTTTTTTTGTGTGTGCCAGCTTTAATGAAGTATAATTTATGTACAATAAAATTCACCAGTTTTAAATTTTGCTGAGTTTTGACAAGTGGAGACAGTTGATGATTGT